CAGAGGACGGAGGATGAGAGGGCGATGGGGAGGGGGGGTGATATAAGGTCGTGACCCGTCCCCTCTGGCCTCTACTTTGTTTTGCCCCCCTGGCCTTTACTTCTCCTGGCCCCTCTTTCCCCCACTCCCCCCTCGCCTCTTTCGACTTTTTTCCTCCCGTTCCCCCCCCCCCTCCCTCTCCCCCTTTTCCCTCTCCCTTTCTCTCTTTCCCATTCCCTCTCTCCCCCGTCCCCCTTCTCCCTCCTTCGCCTTCCCCCTTCACCCTCCTCTCCGCGCAGTCCCCTCTCGCCGTCCCTCCCTCATCCCCTTGCGTCTCCCCCTTCCTGTCCACCTCCTCCTCCCCCTCCTACTTTTTGCAGAATAACGCGGCGGTTGCGACGACCCAAGCACGCAATGCACGAGATGCCAGCTTCGCCAGGTCAACCGGAGTCTGATGTTTCAGGCTCAACGTTCGCCCCGATTCTTATGCGGTAGCGGAGCTGTCCTCGTTCGCGCTGTCCTGGTGTGCAGCACCTTTGGTGTCGTGACGCGGCTTTCGGAGTGAAGCCGTCGTCTTGAGACGGGTGTTCCATCGAGGGAGGCGCCCCGACCGACTGCCAGCCGTGTCATCGGCAGTGTTGAAAGTTACCGATGTCCTCGCGAATGGCCTGCCAACGTTGCTCTCGTGCGCACGGCCCCACGTAGGCAATGCCGCCGCGGGCACTATTGCTTCTGCTCTGGAACCACCCTGCGCTCTGATGCGCCACTCGAGCCACCCCCCGCGGGATGTCCGATGGTCGCGCTCGTGGGTGCTGAAGTTGCCGAGCCGATTCGCACGCCTTGGTCGTATAGTTGGAGAACCAGCAGAAGAAATTCAAGAACGAACGCATGAAATCGTTCGTGCCCCGATTCGTGTTTTGTATGTTGTCCTACTTTTGTGTCAAACCTTTGCGTAGCCCTGTAGCGACACCTAAAAGCTGGACCCTGGGGATCGCGGATGCCAGGAACGCTTTTTGCCAGAGTAACAAGCTGGAGAGGCCTCGCGGGGCTATCTACGTCGAATCAACGTGGAGCCTTGCTCCGGACTTGGGGTCCCCAGCGAGTGCTTGTAGTCGCCCCGGTGCGCGGTCTCAGCGACGCCCCGTTGTTGTGGCATCGCACTCTAACAGATTCCCTCTCGGAGCAAGGATTCACCCGTGCCCTGCTAGAGCCCTGCTTATGGCTACTGAGGTCTACGACCCGAAGGCTGCAGGCGCTGATTCTTATAGAAGTCGATGACTTGATCATCTCAGGCGATTCCGAAGTGCCCCCGTCTTTGAAGGAGAGCTTGTTTCGCCGATGTAAGTTCGGGAAGTGGGAAGAGGGTCAGGCTTACTACGCGGGAAGACATGTTAGACAGATGCCCGGGGGGAAAATATTAGTGTATCAGGAACAATATGTTCGAGAGCAGCTTGCTCCCGTGCCTCTGGGCATGCCTCGCAGGTCCGTTCCGGGCTCGCCGCTCACCCCCTCGGAGATTCCTTTGCATAGGACCACAGTGGCCCAGATACAGCGGCTCGGACGAGAGTCGCGACCCGACGTCGCAGGCAGCGCATTCTTACTCGCGTCCGCTCTCCCAGAACCCCGGGTGGAACATGCCCTCCCTGCCAGCAAAGTTGTTAAGTTTGTGCGAGCCTCTGCTTCCCAATGCCTCACTCTCTGGCCCCTCGACCCCCTCTCCACCACCTTTGTTGCCGCATCAGATGCGGGCGGGCCGGGCTCGGCTCGGAGAGGCGGGGCGCAGAGTGGCTGGCTAGTGTTCGCTGCGGACAGCTCGATTAGACAGAATCGGAGGGCTCGCGCCAGTGAAATTTCTTGGCGCTCGCAGCGTTTGAAGCGAGCGGTGGCGAGCACCGTTGCAGCGGAGACGCTCTCGTTGTCTGGAGCCGTTGCAGAAGCCCAGCGGGTTCAAATCATGTGGCGGGATGCGTTGTTCGGAGACGTCTCTTCCCCGGATTGGGCGGCCTCCCAGGGACCTTTTTCGGTGATTCTCCCAGAAGAATGTGCCCTCGGGGATCATGCGTCCGGCCTGAGTATCGTAGACGCTAAGAGCGTTTTCGATACGTTGTCTCGCAACAGTGCTGGATCGAGAGCGGACAGGCGCAACGCCATAGAATTGGCCGCGGTCCGTGACGCTTTGAGCTCAGTGGGTTCACAAGTACGCTGGCTGCCTCGCGGCGTGATGCCAGCTGATGCTTTGACGGAGGCCGGCCCGGCAAAAGGGAACGCCGCCCTCCATGATGTGCTGACCCGAGGAACTCCTTGCCTGGTGGACGAAGAAGGTCACGCAGACGAGAGAGCATTGAATATGGCACTGAAGAGTAGGTCCCGAGGTGCGTCTCGGCGTCTTCTGAACGATCACGCTAAGGTGCACGACGACACTAAGGTGCCCGAAGGCTGGAAGAAGGAAAGGAGCGTGGAAGGTGAGGAGGAGAAGAGAAGGGAAGAGGAAGATGAGGAGGATAGGGGGCCAGTGTATCTCGTCCCGGGAGTTTGCTGAGGTCGGGCAACGAAAGCTTGGATTGCTGTCCCTCAGAACCCCCTTCGAAGCCCCGAGTGTGTTCCCTCTCTCCTCTCCCTCTTTGCCCTCCTCCGCAGCCTTTGGCTTAGGCGCGGTGCCCGAGGATCCGTGTTGTGTTATCTAGACGAGAAAAGGGTGTCCCGCTCGACGCATCGACCTGATGTCTCCCCCCCCCATTTGTTTTCTTGACGGAGAACACCTGGCCCTCGCCCTTTCGGCCTCGAGCTGCCTCCGTGCCGTCTCCAGCTCCATGTCGTCCTGCATCTGCTGGCCGCGGGGCGCCGTTCTGTCGGCTCTTCCCTTCTGCGGCTTATCGGCGTCCTGAGCTTCTGCACTTCTCGCAGCAGTCAGGAGCCTGGCCTTTCTCTCCTCAGCCTCCATCTCGCTCAGCGGAGGTCTACCCTTTTCGTTGGCCTTCCATTCCGAGGGGGCCCCGTGTTCTCGTCGATGGTGTAGCCAGTCCTCCGCTCCGTCCCTGTTCTGGTTTCTTCTCTGTCCCGTCTCTTGGCGTCGCTGGCTGTCCGCCCTCGGCCTTCCTGCACCTGCCTCTCTCCTCCTCGCGGGGCCCTCGCCGCTGGACGGGTCCCTCCCATTATCCATCGCCGAGGGGCCCCTGGCCACACCTGGGGCGTTCAGAGGTGGGAGGGGGTCCTGGCGGCGTGGGCGGTCCAGGTCGCCGACGTGCACCGCGTTGTCGTCGCCGTGGTGCATCTCGTCGTCCAGGCCGTCCCTCCACTTCTGCACTCAGTGGTCCTGGTCAGCAGCAGCTTCTCTCCTCCTCGCGCTGCCCCCTCCGCGGGACGGATCCCTCCTATTATCCCTCGCCGACGGGCCCCTGGCCACACCTGGGGCCATAGGTGGGAGGGGGTCCTGGCGGCTTGGGCGGCCCAGGTCGCTGTCGTGCTCCGCGTCGTCTCAGCCGTGGTCGCCGTGGTGCTCCTCGCCGTTCTGGTCGTCCCGCTGGTGCTGCACGCCGCGGTCCTGGTCCGCAGCTGCCTCTCTAGGCCCTCGCCGATGGGCGGGTCCCTCCCATTATCCATCGCCGAGGGGCCCCTGGCCACACCTTGTGCCAGAGGTGAGAGGGGGTCCTGGCGGCTTGGGCGGTCCAGGTCACCGACGTGATCTGCGTCGTCGTCGCCGTGGTGCAATTCGTCGTCCAGGCCGTCCCTCCGGTGCTGCACGCCGCGGTCCTGGTCAGCAGCAGCTTCTCTCCTCCTCGCGCTGCTCCCGCCGCGGGACGGATCCCTCCCATTATCCTTAGCTGAGGGGCCCCTGGCCACACTATGGGCCAGAGGTGTGATGGGGGTCCTGGCGGCTTGGGCTGCCCAGGTCGCCGACGTGCTGCGCGTCGTCGCAGCTGTGCTCCTCGCCGTCTCGGTCGCCCTGCTGGTGTAGTTCGCCGCTCTTTTCAGTGGCCTGTCTTTCTGGAGTACTCGTTGCCGTCCAGGTCCTCCACTCCTCTGCATCTGCCAAGCTTGTCCATCCTCTGAGCAGGTAGCGCCCCGAGTCGCATGAGGGCTCTTTTCTGCACGGTGCTTGCATTTTGTCCGAGACCATTTCCGTCGCCGAGCTTGCGCATAGTGAACAAAACCACCTCCTCCGCCTTCCCAGCCATCTCATTGGGTGCGTCGGGGTAGGCAACGTTGCCGTGGTACTCGATGCGCCTGCCTGCTGACTGTGGTACTTCTGCTCGACCCACTCCTTCAAGCTGCTGAACGCCCTCGTCGCCGTCACTGACTGGTTGCAGCACCTGCATCGCCATCCACGTCCACGTCTGAGCCTCACCAGGTCGTGTTTTGTGGCCGGCCTCCTATTGGTGTCGCCCCCCAGGTAGTCCGCCTTCAGTTTTCCCTGCGCGCGCCTCTGTTGGGTGGCCTGTCTCCGTGCTTTCTTTAAGTCGCGGGGTGCTCTGTCAGCCTCCTCTCGATGGCGTCCTGCGTGCAGGCCGCTGTTCTCGACCTCGCAAGGCGTGCCGTCGCACTTACCCACTCGTAGCAGCTCATCTGGTTCTGAGGGATGACGTGCTGCTTTGCCCCCACGTCGTCCAGTCGGTCGGCAGCACGGTTTCCTTCCCAAGCCATCCTGGGGATTTTCTTCGCCGCTGCCTCTTCCTCCGTCAGGTGGCTGTTCAGGTGGAACATCTGGATACAATTCCGTCCTCCTTCGCGGCCCCCAAGTGCGATCCGAACTCTATGCCATAGGTCACAGTTTGCGCCCACTCTTTCTTTGCTTTCCTCCTGTCTTGCATGCCATCCGATGAATGTGATCTCGTTGTCCGTCCAAAAGACGAGGTCCCCGCTCGTGGACTCCAGGCAGTTGATGAACGCCCACAGCTCCGCTCGGTTGTTCGACTACTTTGGCCCCGGGAGGGGCCCGTACTTTGCTGCAAGGATCGGGAAGTTGCTCTGGTCTTGGCTTACGTCCAGCACCACCCAACTCCATCCGCAGCACCTGTATCTGTCGTCGTTGCTGTATTCTCCTCCTGATCCGTCGCCACTCACCGTCAGTGGTGAGCTTTGCCATTGACAACCCGTGGGCGGCAGCCGCTGGGGAAGCCGTGGACGCCAGGACGGACGTCATGTTCTTGCACATCGGCTACCACTCGTTCCCACCGTACTCCCCGAGCTTCCTTCGGCTTCGACCTCGGTCAGATCTCCCTGCGCAGCTGGGCGATGGCTACGTCGAGCTCGAGGCGGGCGCGGGCGCGCGAATCCATGGCAGTATAGTTGAAACGGTCGAGTTCTAGCGTCGGCCCAACCTTTGAAACGAGAACGGGACCCAACGCCAAAAATAGTTTCCTGGGGGGGGTGCTGTCCACCCACGGGCCATGCCATCGGCTCAGGAAATGCGATCTGGGTCTCGGGACACTCACGCCTCTTCAACTGGGGGTCGGGCACCGCGTCGGCGCGTAGCAACTCTGTGCCAGACACGTGGCGACGGCGACCCTCCTCCAGCTCTCTTTTCGCACACACCCTATCAGTCAGCCTTGGCTTGCTCGCATTCCTCGTCCTCCTGCTCATTGTTGGCGCGTTCGCCTGGGCCAGCCACCGTTCCGCCCCCTACTTGTAATATGATGGTGCGTGAATATCAATGCTCGCTCTCCTCGTCTGTCCCACCATTCTGAGATGAGCCGCATCCCTTGCGCATGGCGTTGGTTCGCGCCGATGTGCCTTGCTATTGGCGGCACATCGTGTGCCCGACATTCGCCCGTGCCAGCCCGACGTGCCAGTTGCGAGCATCATTGGATGATGTCTCAAGTATACGCTTTCAGGCCTTCGGCCCACCCCGCCGCCAAGTTCGGGCTGGTCCAGGAGCCCCTTGGATGTCGCTCAGGGGCTCGTGGGGTGATTGTCGGTGGGTTCGTGGAGGGCCTTGGGGGATTCTTGGTGGGCTTCTGGAGTGCCAGTGGTTCCCTGCGGCCTCCTGGAGTCACTTCGTAGGCTTCGTGCGTGTTGTTCTAGGTGGGGGGCGGTCGGTGGCCTCTGGTGGGCCATGTCTGTCATCTTGGTGGCAAGCCCGGCACGCCGTCTCGCGTCCGCCCCCCTGGGCGCTCTATCGTGGGCCGCCTCAGGTGTCTCGGTCCTCCTGGGCGGCGTTGGCTAACAATCTGAATGCGCCACTGGTCCACATTGGGGCCCCCTCGGTTGTCTGCGCGGCCGCCTTGCGCTGCCATCGAGGGTCTCTCAGGCAGCCATGAGGCGCTGGAAGCATAGCAGCGCGACAGCGCCAACGCCCTTCAAACAACGGAAGGATACACACTCCCTTTTTCACATCGTTGCGTATGCGCCTTCGCGGGGAGCTCTGGGGGGCCCCGTGCATCTGCCTGGCAACCTCGGCCCTCCTGGGAACGCGGGGGCGCGCTCGGACTGCGCCGGGAGCATCGTTAACCAACGCTTTTGGGCGTTTCCCTCGGAGTTCCAGGTGCGTGTTTTGGGGCCGTGCAATGTCTGTGAACGTAGCGCGGCGGACCGTGAGAGTGCGCCAGAACGCCAAACAACGTGCGGGATTGGTTGCCACGACGCGCAAATGAATACATATATCACACCGCGCAACTGGTTCGAAAGTGTCTGGGGTCAGCCCACTTCATGCCCTGAAGAAGGGTTCCCGATACTTCGCCATGCGGTCAGTATTCTCCAAGCGATGGCACATGGTGCCTTATGGGTGGCGCCCGATGGCTGGCATCGGGCCGTTGTGTATGAGAAGCGCCATGGGTTTTGGCGTCGCACGGCGGGAAACGCGTGTCTGGCGTTGTAGTATTATTATTGTTGATGGTCAATTTTGTTGGGCAGCCTGCGTTCTATGGCTGTGCCCTGCGGTTGGTGCCATCTGGTTGTTGCCCCATGGTATCTCGCAAAGCCGCCCTGCTGGTGCAAGGCTGGTGAGGCACCACAATTGGCTTCCCACGTTTCCCGATCGGAAACGCGCAATGATAATACAATGCCTTGCAATGACAATGCAATGCACCCAACTCCCTGGGCGTGGTCGGGAGTGAGTCGTTCGGGCCCCTCAGTTCTCGGTCGGGTGGGTGGGTCGTTCGGACCCCTCCGTTCTCGGTCGGAAATGAATCGCTCGGACCTTCCAACTCTCGGTCGGGATTGGGTCGGTCGGGCTCATCCGTGCTCTCGGTCTGACGTTCATCGCTCGAACCTTTCATGTTTCGGTCGGGTGCGAGTCGTTCGGGCCCCTCCGTTCTCGGTCGGGGAGGCGTCGTTCGGGCCCCTCAGTTCTCGGTGAGGGGTGGGTCGCTCGCCCCCTCCACTTCACGGTCGGGGTGAGTCGTTCGGGCCCCTCACTTCGCGGTCCTACAATTGGCGCCTCGCCGTGCTGGAATACGGTTCGGAAACGCACTCTGCTACGACGATGGCCGCAATTCGACGCGCAGGAACTGATCATCCAACGCGAGCGGTCCAGGAGGCCGAACACAGTCAAAACCTTTGTCCTGATGTTTTCAGGACGTCGCATGTCTGGGCCTTCCTGTGGTACAGGTGGCGCAACCGAGGGGTCGGTGGCCAGCCCCCTCCAGCTGATCCAGAGCCGAGCTCAGCCTAGCACGACAACCGCATAAAAATGACCGCGGTCATTTTTATGCGCCTGTGTTTGGAACGGCGGCGCAGAGGGCGCACGCCTGCCGCTAGTGCGCATCCCTCCTGGGAGGCATGGACATTGGCGCCAGCGCCAAGTCGAGATGACCGAAGAACGGAGGAGGAGAAGGCAGGAGGAGGAGGACCAGAGAGAACTCGAATTGCACCAGCGGTGGTGCCATGTGCCCTCCCGTCTCATGCTCCCTCTTTTTTGCATGGCCATGCGCATAATCCCCCTCGCAAGTTGCCCGGTTGGCCTCGAATGCGCGCGGCGCTAAGGCGAGATCTACGATTGAGGCAACGCCGCTATCCACCCACGAAGTGGATGCAAACGTTGTGAAACACATATGCCCCCACCCGTACGGTGACGAAGTTAATGCATGCCAGAAATGGGTTAACTCGTTTCTGAAATCCATGTTGCAAAACCAGAAGTGAGCAAAGTTGGGCCATTGCGCCGATCGCGCCAAGGAGGTGGTGGAGGAGGAGGAGGAGGAGGAAGAAGAGCGGGTCCTTGATCGGTTTTCGGCGTCATCATTTGGAGCTGGCTGTGGGGCTGAAGTGGCCCATGATCGTTTTTTTTGTTCGGTGTGACGTCGATGCTGGCCGCCCGCCTCGGCTTGTGCGAGGCCGTTTTAGGGTCCCAGGGCCATCAGAAATTGATCGGGCGTGGAAAACACGCGTCAAGTGGGCCCTGGGAGCTTGGCCACGTCGCACGCGCAGCGCGGGGCGGTCGAATGCGGGGCCGCCGTGCGATCGTTTTGGGCGGCCAGCGGTCCGAGGCGGGACCACTTCACGGCAACCTCGAGCGCGCAGAGTGGGGCAGCCGAGGGCGGGATCACTGCGTGGAGCCAACATAGGACGAACCACTGGATGCAGCATGAGACGGGACACTGTCATCGACATAAGACGGGCCGTTGCTTCAACATAAGACGGGCCACTGTAATCAACATATGGCGGGCCATTGTAATCAACATAAAGCGGGCCATTGGAATCAATATGCAAGTGGCCACTGGAATCAACATGTGGCGGGCCATTGGAACCACCATGAGACGGACCACAATAATACACATCAAACGGGTCATAAATCTCGACATAACATTGGCCACTGGATTTACATATGGCGGGCCACTGGGAACATAACGACATGGGCCACTGGAAACCAGAGTACTAATACAGGCCATTGGAATCAGCATAGGACGGACCACTGTAATCAACGTAAGACTGGCCGCTGGAATCAACGCACGACGGGCCACTAGAACCAACGCAAGACGGGCAACTGGGATCGGCATAACATTGGCGACCCAAACCGAATCAACATAGGACGGGCCACTTGGCCACCGTCTTATCTTGCCAGCAGGCGGCGCAATCACGGCGTGACCACTAGGGTGTACTTGATTTTTTCGGCGGCCGGTTGCGCATCATATGGCGCTGCCAGTGTGGGGGCGGTGTTAGGTTCGACGGCCGAGGGCGCCGCCGCTGGCGCAATCCATGGGTTGGCTTGTCTTCTCGGCCGCAGACGGCGCAACCTCTGGCGCAACCAATTGAACGCAATGTTGTACTCAATGGTTGTTTGCGCGTCCAGATTGCAACGGTTAGGATGCCGTTACGGCCTCGGTGGCCTAGGCCGCAACTGCCCTCGGAACCACTAGGATGCCGTTGTCCGTCGCCATGCGGCTCAACTATCGTTGCAAGGTTGAGTGCGTCTCCCCATCTTATTCTCAATTCCATCGTTTCCATATCAGTCTTGTTATCAGCTCCTTTCGCTTCCAGACGGCGGTGGCTCCGAAAATGCAGCAGCCGTTGGCGACCAAGAAGGACAGGACCTTGAACCCTTGGGCGTGCAATGCCCTCCAGATTCGCCTTAGCATGGGGCGCTTGCAGAACCAGGTTCGCGCAGATGCCAGGGAGCTCAAGGAGGTCAGGGGCATCCTCGCAGGCGCGTTCACGGGCACCTCGAAGTTCGCGGGCAACAAGAGCGTGCAGATTGCGAAGAAGCTTGCCACGCCCTCGCGGTCCACGGGCACGGCTACGGATCAGAGCGCACCCAGGAAGCCCAGGCCGCCCAAGGCGATGACGGCGGGCGGCAGGGGCCACGCTCGCACGTGAGCTCACCCACGTGCTGTGGTCACTAGGTCGGGACACCTTGTGAGGTGCGCCGGGGGTCGATATTATACAGGGGATGGGGGGGCAGGATTGACGAGGAACGGGGCGGCGGTAGGTGCGGAGGGTGAACGAACAGGGATATGAACGGTGACAGTGGGGAGTGCAAGGGGTTGGGCGGTGAACGAGGTGTAGGGGGGAACTGGCAGGACGGCGGCGAGGTGTGCCACAAGAGCTGCTGCCACCCAAGTGCGGTGCGCTCTAGCTTTTAGCTTGCCGTTGTTCGGCCAGCCATCGTTCAGCCACAACAGGCTGGTGGACGGGCAAGGCTCAATTGCAGCGTCCGTGCGCGCTGCATGTTCAGCAGCGCCCGTGCGTTGGATAGCTCGGCACGTCACCCGATGTAAAAAGTTAGCGTTCGGGGGCCCTGGATCGAAGTGAGGGGCGCGGAGTATGGGTCGTGAGTATGGGTCCAGGGGTGGTTTGGGGGGCCTGGAGTCTGGAGGGGTTG